GTCTTACATTCACTCCAGGCGACAACTAATATATACAATCCATTGCTTTTGAAACTAGGAAAACAATGTTCGTCTCTCTATATCCCTCCGGAGAGTACCAGACTCCTCATGGCATGCTTTACCTGTACAAGGTATAGATTATACCAAAAATTGAATATTGCTGTCGTATATGGGCTGTAACTGAACAATCCTTACATTCCAGCCTTGGTAGTAACCAAAATCTTTTACGCTGTTTTGTTCGAAAAGATTTATTCTCCATTCTGCAAGCTCTTCCAGACAGACGCAACATCGCAAGCCCGTCACTACTCTATCGCCGTTTCTATGGCAAATGTTCAGAGGAGCTCTATTTTCTTGTTCCACCAATCCAGAACCTTAGAGCTTGCCACTTCCGATATTTTTTAAAATCGTTTTTTGAAGGGTGTCCTGTTCATAATATAAATAAAGTGCCAAATCGATCCCTGACTTCTTATATATATATATATATATATATATATATATATATATATATCTTTCGACATAAATAAAAAAAATAAACCTATCGACATAGGAGTCAGACGTTTCTTATTGAAATACGTCTGTCAGCGTTAGCCAATGCAAAAAAGGCTTTTCACGCTCCCCCCCTTCCTATATACTGGTGTATTATTACTTCAACTGGTTTCGATTCGAGTTTCTATATTTAAATGACAAGCTTTCCTCTGTGGTACCTAGACGTTATGAATATAAGGGCAGTACTAGACTGGCGGTTAGGTCTCATCATTTTACATTTGAAAGTACTATGCTAACAGTTTCTTCTCTCGCTCTTCTCGTTTGTAGAACGGGTTTCTCGCTTTCAAGCAAACTTTGATCTTCAAATAATAATATTTTCCTTTTCTAAATATTCTCTCATACTTAGAAATCCCTTGCGTCTTAGTGGCTTTATTTGCCAAAAATCGCCCGTTTTTCTTTAATCCAAATCCCTTCCAATGGCCAAAGACAGTTGAGATATCGATTTTCAAACTGTTCTGTCGAAATATTCGGTTTATTCTCCGCGATGGAAAAAAAAAAGCAGAGCGTTTTCATCGACGTCGGGAGGTCATCCGGTTGATCGTTTAGGTTAAACTCAACCTGACGAAATTTGACAATTCACTTCTTGACCGTCCGATGAGCTGGCGTCCGATCTAAATAAACCTTCTGAATGTTATTTTGTCGCAGTTTACTTAGTGTGACAAAAGTGCAACTTTTCATCCTCCATCTTTAAGACATTCATTTGGGGACAAAACCTCAACATTCAACAAAGCCTGATTCGCAAACTGAACGATCAAGGCTTTCAATCTAGAACACAACAGAAATCAGCACCAAAACAAACACCAGTGTTAATTGTGGTGATTTTATATTAATGAAAATCGGGAAAGAACTTTCGTAATGATCTGATAGCTTCATGGCCTTTCTATAATTACTTCCGAGTGAGGTTCATACCAGTTTTCATAACAGTTTTCTGTATATGACGCAATATAATCTTAAGATATTTTTTCTAATGAACATACAGTCCAATCCTATGTCGTTCGGTGTCAGGATTCAACAGCCTGACACTAATTGTGTGAAACTATTAAAACAAACAAACAAAAATATTGGCTCTCGAGTATTTGACAAAATTTAGGATAAAACCATTTAAAAAAACAAAAAATCTGGTAATTTAAATCGGAAAACTTTTGAAAAACAAAACATTATTGCAAAGACAAGACGAACAAACAGTCACTACATCGTCCTGGGTAAGATGATAAACTACATTCTTTGATCAGAAGGTTTTGAAAAGTATGGAACCACCTCCTTATTGCTGTTGTTCGCAGGTCCACCCTGACCCAGTGTGGTAGCACTTATGAGGGTCCCAGCTATGGGCAAATAGCTAATCCCCTAAAAGGGGTCAAAACAATATAAAAGTATAAAAATAGGTTTTAATAACAACAATACTTTTTTTTTAAATTTTACCAGCAATACATTTTTGAAAAAAAAAATATTACCAGCAATACATTTTTGAAAAAAAATATTACGAGCAATATATTTTCGAAAAAAAAATATTACCAGCAATACATTTTGGAGAAAAAAATTTACCAGCAATACATTTTTGAAAAAAAAAGTATTACTAGAAATACATTTTTGAAAAAAATAATACCAGGAATACATTTTTGAAAAAAGTTTTACCAGGAATACATTTTTTTTTTTAAATTTACCAGAAATACATTTTTGAAAAAAAAAAATATTACCAGCAATACAGTTTTGAAAAAAATTATTACCACTAATACATTTTTGAAAAAATATATTTCCAACAATTGAAAAAAAATACTAGCAGCAATAAAAGATTTGTCGATATTAAATAACCCATTGAGGTTGATATGCCACAAAGCAAGGCAAAACAAAATCAAACCAAAGCAAACACTCGCTACAAAAGAGAAATGTCAGCGACGATGCAACCAAAAATAAACATAAGTTCACGGCCATTTCCGATTTTATAAGAGCCCGTTCTGCGTACGAAAAGCCAGCTCTCGTGGGTCGACGGTGGTCAGGCTGGGCAGCGCTCTGAATCAGTCCCTAATGCATTACTGCGACATCTGGTGTTTGTTGAACTTCTCCGATATAAATACCATCCCCTGATTTTGAACAGCGAGTGAATTAAAGTGGAAAAAAGAAAAAAAAAATCTTGGCCGGACAGCTGCATGGGATTTACATGACGTTTTTCTGAGATTAGTAAATACGAAGCATCGAGAAGTGAAGAGGGTGGATTTTTCACCGTGGCGCCTGGCGGTGGTTTGGGGTACACATTAAGCTATTCCAGCTGCTAGGCTGGTAGAAACTGGGTCTGGGTTGAGGAGAGATAAACAGAGATTCCCTTCCGCGTAAGAAGGACAGCTCCATTCCCGGAGCAGGAGCAAGGGCTTCGCTTGTGATGCAATAGTTTGCACGGCATATCATGATAATTGCCATAAAGTATTCATGTCTCAAGATTGGCGGTTTTTGTAGTTTAGGATCCGCTAACTGTGGATGGGGTTCTCGAATCTTCCCGCGACACGAACCTCGGAAAGGCGCAACAGAATCCTGCTTGGTGTTTCACACTCCTTCCCAGTTTTTTGAACAGGAGTAGAGGTTTATCCCTTCTCTCCTGTTCAGGATTGGTTTTCCGGTTCCTTCTAATACCTTCTCGTTCTCTTTTACTCCTGGTAGTCCCTTCCGCCTTAGTAGCGTTGTCACCTTGCTTGGGGTGAATTGATAAAAAAAAATGCTTTGGCAATTATTCTAATACTAGCCGAATTACCCGCGCCTTACTGCGGGTCACACATTTTTTTTTTTTTTTTTGTAAGACAATATGATTGATTTTAAATCATTGTTATAATTTGGGGATAAAAATGATGCATTTCACTATTACTCAAAGTTTTTGCCGATTTGACTTCCATCTTCTGGCTTTCTCCTTCTATATTTTGGCTAGGAGTCATTCCCTTGTTCAATTTGAAATCAAAGGGAAAAAAATTCAGTGGGGGGGTCAGCAAAAGCAGCTTGATCTGACCCCTTTGAGATGTATTTGATGCAGTATCTGTCTATATTTCTGAGATTAGGTATTATGTATATTATTTACATTATTATGACTATTGTCCTCATCTTTGTCGCCATATATATTACAACGTTTCGGCCGTTGTACGCTCCGGCCTTCTTCAGGTGGTTGGAATGTCGAACTTAACCCTTTATTTCGCTCACTGGGGTAGACTGTTCTAGTTCCACGTGCCATGTTTAATGGATGTCAGTTATCAGTTATCTCCTGTTAATTTCCCTCTGAAAGTTCTCCACTGCCTTAACCGGGTATTGAACTCAAGGACAAATGACACAGTGGATAAAGGCGTTGGTTAGATCCAGTGACAGGACCCAAAGAGTGGGAGTTCTAGTGTAATTGATAACGGCTCGAAATTGTTAATCGGGGAGCTGAGTTCTAATTCCAGTTGGGTTCGTTATATCAAATACCTTTGGGAAAGGCATGAAACCACCTTTTCTCCCCCAGAGTTGTATCACTAAATCAATATTATCCCCCAAAAGTAATTCTTAGAACCTAAAAATATTTCCTGCAAAGGGTTGATAAGCCGTACGAAACGAATCAGTTAACCAACAATAACAGGTTATAACCATATTTTATAAGGCAAATGTATTTTAGAAACAGGAAGAAAAGGATCGTCATTATTCAAGAATTAATACAAGCATTATTTAAAGGAGGGGGCTATTATATTAAGGTAAATTCACTGAAATGGTGTTTTACTAAAGAAATGCAAAAAATCAAGAAGAAAGGGATTGTCAATGGCCAGGAATTAATGCCAGCAATGCTAACAATATATGGTTATTATTTATAAAGTAAAGACATTGCTAATAGATTTCATATAGGAATGCATGGAAAATCAGAAAGAAAGGGATTGTCAATGGTCAACAATTAATGCAAGTGTTACGAATAGAATAGGATTATTGTATGCGTAAAGTTTGGTTTGGTTTGTTTGTTTAATGGCATATCAACTCCTTATGGGTCATTTAATGCTGAAATTTTATTTTCTTGTGTGCTTTGGTAATCATTTTTTTTTCCCAAAAATATATTGCTGGTAATTTGCTTATTTCTAAATTTTTTTAATTTTTTAAAATTTTTTTTTATTTTTATATTTCCATGTTTTGATCCTAGTTTAGGGGTTCACTATTTGCCTCTAACGGGGACCCTAACAAGTCCTACAACTCCAGGTCATGGTTGACCTGGGAACAACAGCAACTAGCGGGTGGTTTAACGCTCCTAAAAACACCCTGATTAGATGCCTTGATCTCGGATATAGTTTATTGTCAAACCCAGGAGAAATTTACATAAGATAAATTCAAATTAAAACCTCTGTAAATACACTTTATAGCGGATGTTCATTTTAAGTTGTTTTAACCGTAGAAATACATTGAAAATGGGGAAATCAGGCTTTTTTAGTGAACAGATATTAATTCAAACTGTATCAACAAACTAGGGCTATTATATGAACAATTACTTCTTTACAAAGGAAGAATAATGATTGACGTCACTCCAACAATACTAAGTGTATATTTATTTGGAGAATTAATTATAATAACATAATTAAACGCTCTGTTAAAAACATTCCAGCTAAAGAATTTGATAAACCTTCCAGATATAAAAATCTCGAGATAGAAATTACAAGAATGTGGCAAAGACAACGAATATTCCTCCGCACTGAATGTAATCCGTGCCAGTGATTGGCTAAAAATAAAAGCGGTAAATTAAATTCATTTTTCAGTTACAAACCAGAAGATATCTTTTTTATCCAATTAGTACCGGATTTATCTATAATCTAAACAGTGCTGGACTTACCTATAATCTAAATACGCTATAGCTTAGGGTCATTTTTTAAAATATACTAAGTCTGCAGCTAAGAAATTTGGTTCGCTATGCCATGCTAGACAATTCTTCTCGACTGAATCTATCTGACATATTTATTCGTCCTTGCCTTGAATATTGCTGCCATACCAGGTCTGATACCCCTGCTATATATTTAGAGATTCTTGATAAAATCCAAAGAAGTATTTGCAATATTATTGGCCCTGACCTAGCGTCTCGGCTCCACACCCTTTCCCACCGCTATAACGTAGCTTCCCTGTGCCTTTTCTACTAATACTTTCATGGTCATTGTTCTGAGCTACTTTTCCCTATGGTACCTAGACTTTATGAATTTAAGCACAGTACTAGATTGGCGGCTAGGTCTCACCAATTTACAGTTGAAATAGCTAGATGTAACCGTAAGTTCTATTCTAACAGTTTCTTCTATCGCGCTTCTCGCCTGCGGAACTCTCCCAGTCAATTTTGATCTTCAAAAATTTAAATGCAATGTCAATCGTTATTGCCTGTCTTCTTGATTCCTCTTCTTTTATTTATTTATTTTTCTCTCTCTCTCTCTCTCTGTCTCTGTCTCTGTCTCTGTCTGTCTGTCTGTCTGTCTCTCTCTCTCTCTCTCTCTCTCTTTTCTTAATGTTTTTCTTTTTTCTTTCACATTCAGTAATGTATCTTTGTATCTTAGTGGTTTTATTGCTTTGCTTAGGGTGAAATGATAAAAAATAAAACACTCAGCTAACAGTTACCAAATATAAAAGCGAACGTTCTTAAGTGGAGAGTCCAATCCATATCGATTAGATCGAATTAAAATAGTGATGTTAATGATTGTTAATTAGCAATAAAACTAATGAAAAGGAATTTTAGAAAAAAAAATAATGATTAATTTTCAAAGAACGAGAAACAATTTTGTTTTATTTTAAATTTTATTTGACTTTGTTTTGTTTCTCATCCAAATAAAACGATGTTGAAATTAATAAATGGGTCACCGATATGACTTCAAATGGTTAGTGATTCACGGGTAAAAAATTTCCCGTCTTAACCACATCAAGGGCAGAATTGTTTTCTTTTTTTTCTTCCATTTCTTTTGCTTGTTTTTGTTTTTTTATATAACAATTTCTAAAACGTAAGGTTTAATAAACGATCTTTTTTTTTTTTTGTCTGCGCCTTAAAAGCCATCCCTCTCAATTTATTTTCTTCAAACGGGTTCTCACTAGTTAAATCAACTCCACCCGTCCTACGACGTGATGTAATGGCTAACAAGCCAGTCTCGCTAGATCAATTACGACTGAGTAGCGAGCTCGATCTTCACTTGGGAGCTCCATACTTGCGGCCTTGAGGCAACGCTTAGTACATCACGAAAATTGACTCCTTCATTCTTTGAAGCCAGCGAAGATTCTCGTTCAGCAAAGGATCTCGCGGATTGTGGCTTCCTCCCGACAAACACGAGACCAAGAGCGCGGGGTTTCAGTTAATTGACTCAAACGTCGTCATCAAATACGACTATAAGCGTCTCATATTAATACTAAAAAAAATGTATTCATTACCAGGTGTTTCTAAGCAATTAACCATCAAGTTCGACACAACTGAATTTCGACTACCAAACTAGACACCTCGGCATAGGCTAATGGTTAGCAAACAAATCGATTTGATCATTACTAGTAAGTAGTGAGTTCGATTCTCACTAGGTCACTAATACTTGTGGCCTTGCACCAAAAGTAAATAACACAGGACACCATGGCGGAGTGGTACCTCTCAGCGAGCTGGTTTGATTGATCATTACGATTAACTAGTGAGATTGATTCTCACTAGGTGCCTCAAACTTATAACCTTGTACCAAAACAAGTCAACTTTAACAGGGTGGGGAAGGTAATTGACCATTACATGAAGCTTAGTAAATAATGCAAGATACCTTTGCAAGAAAAATTGACCTTGACTAATGACTATTGAATACGATTCTCACTGGTTGCCTTAAATGACCTTGTGCCAAGCCTAAGTCAAGCTTAACAAATATTACGAGGCAGCTTTGCGGGTATGTAATTACTCGTGAGCTATTTTTACTTGACCGTTACGCCTGAGTAGTGAGTTCGATTCTCACGAGTCGCCAAAAATCACTTAAATATTGATTTTTTTTTTTTTTTTTTTTTTTTTTTTTATTTTACTTAGCGACTCGGCTCGGTGTAGAAGTGTAGAGATTAGTCAGCTAGTCTGATTGACTATTTTTCGTGAGTTCGATCGTTATTACAAGGCCCCCATACCTTTGACCTTGTGCCAAACTAAGTTACGCTGCGTAAACGACGACTGTTAAATGTGAGCCGATACTTTCAGTATGCCCAAATACACTAAATATATATATATATATAAAAAAAAACTCTTTGAAGTATTTTAAATAGAGCACACTTATATACCTAAGAAAAGAATATACAAATCATATATATCTATATAGAAAAAGAATAGGGATATACAAATGATATATATATATATATATATATATATATATATATATATATATGTGTGTGTGTGTGTGTGTGTGTGTGTGTGTGTGTGTGTGTGTGTCACGCACACAGTAATCTTATTTCCTCCCTTGACATGTGACATCATCATCATCATCATCATCATCATCTTCCTTCGACCTCCATATGGTTGGTCGGAACTCCATTGGCAATTCCTTTCCTCACAGTTCGGTCCGGCATTACTGTCCCCAGATCCCCAATGTCCAACCCTGAGTCCCGATCTATGGTGTCTGGGAAAGTCAATTTTCACGAGAAGACACTTCCAGAAGGATGCCATTGGAATAAAGATGAGAGGATTTCCCTGTCCGCTCGGAGCCAGTGTCCGGCAAACTGTAATAGCTTTTGTTTGAGCTTAAGAGACATTGGTAATGTAGCTTTCCCGTGCCTTTTTTTTTAATAAATACATTCATATGAATTGTTCGGATGAGCTCTTTGCTATGGTACCTAGACTTTTTGAATTTAAGTGCAATACTAGATTGGCAGTTAGGTCTCATCAATTTACACTTGAAATGGGCAGATGGAACCGTAAGTTTTATGCTAATAGCTTCTTCTATCGTCCTTCCCTCTTGTAGAACTCTCTTTCCGCTCCATGCTTTTCGGCCACCTTTGATCTTCAAAAATTCAAATGTAATGTCAATCGTTTTTAGACCAGGGACTGAATTTTATCGGGGGTGCTTTAGCAGCCAAAGCACACCCTTTTCACACCCTTTGATCTTACGTTGTTTTCAATATCCTTGTCGATGTTGGTCCAATAGACGTAACTTCTCATCAGATTCTATATTCTTGAAGTTCCCGGATGACCAACATAGAAAACTTTTAATGTTCTTTTCTGTAGTGTAGATGGAATTACTACCCCCCCTCTCTCTCTCTCTCTCTCTCTCTCTCTCTCTCTCTCTCCCCGTACATTAGTATGTCGTTACAGAATGAGTAAAACTTCTGAGATATTCTGGTCATTACTATTTAGTTTGTCCTTCCTTTATGAACTCGTCATCGGACGCTTTCTCTATTATCTCGTCACTTGTTATAGGAAGCTCCCTGACAGTATTGCACAAGGTACTTTTTATTTCGACCTCTGTTCTTATGGCAGCAATGGCTGTGTCTTCCAGGGGTACAGCATACTTAGGTATCAATCTAGACAACCCGTCTGCATGGCAGATTTTAGTGGATGGAAGAAACTCCATTTTGTAGTTATAATTGAGGAGAATGGTTCCCCATCTTTGCAGTCTATTAGCAGTATGTGTTGGCAAACCTTTTTTTTTATCCAAAGATAGTAAGGAGTGGAAGACGGACAATAAAAAGTACCTTCCATGAATAAATCTATGAAATTTAGTTACCGTAAAAATGATTCTTAAGGCTTCCTTTTCTATTTGCGAGTAACCCCTTTCAGATAGTAATAGCGTTCTAGATGCGTGGCTGATTGGCTTTACCGATCCATCATTTAACTGGTGTAAAATGCACGTACTGATTCCGTAAGAGCTAGCATCGCTGGCTACAGTGATGTCAAGGTTTGGATCGTAATGAGTCAGGAAGAGATCTGATGTAAGGACCTCCTTTATTTTCTCAAATGCTTCCTGACAGTTGGTTGTCCATTACCACTCTTTATCTTTTCTCAATAATTCATTAAGTGGAGCTCGCAAACTATGCATTCTTGGGACAAAAACGTTGTAATAATTGGCAAGACCTATAAAACTTTGAAGAGCCGACACATTTTCTGATGCTGGCATATTCTTTATTGCCGTTGTCCTAGCTGGGTTTGAACGTCTTCCGTCTTTGTTAATTATTTGCCCCAAGTACTTAATCCTCTCTACGAAAAACTCACACATCCCGTCTTTTAATTTGAATCCGTAATCCTGGATTCTCATTAACACCTGCCAGACGTGCGATTTGTGTTCCTCGATGCTCTCGCTTTTCATTAGGACGTCATCGAGATAGGCCACCGTAAAATCCAGACCATTTAACATCGTGCCCATGACCTGTTGAAAAATGAAAGGGGCGACCTTAACCCCAAACGGAAGTCTTCAAAATTTGTATAAACCCTTGTGGGTGTTTATGCAAAAGGAGCTTCGAGCATTCCTCGTCCACGGGTATTTGTAGATATGCGTCGCTTAAGTCAATCTTCGAAAAATATTTTCCTCCACTGAGCTTAGCGAATATCTCCTCTGAACTTGGAAGGGGATAATGGTGATCCTTTAGGGCGCTGTTTAGCCCCATAGAAAAGTCAGCACATACACGAATTTCTTTTTCTCTTTTTTCTTTTTTAATATAAACTATGGGAGATGTCTATTCACTATATTCAACCTTTGCCAGAACTCCTATTTCCTCAAATCGATTCAACACCTCGTCAATTTGATTTAACGAGGCAAATGGAACGTTATGTTTTTTTCTTAAAACTGGGTTTACTTCTGGCTTTAACTCAAACTTAGCAGACATTTTTGTGCATTTTCCTAGTCCTCCATTGAAAACGTCGGGAAAGTTTTTTTTTTTAGTTCACCTTTCAACTTTTCTGCTTTGTCAATCAAATTTTCGACTTTTTGACATGAGTTAAAAGGCATATGCCAAAGTTGAGACTGTTCTAACCAATCAGTCCCGAACAAATTACCCGTATTCTTCATAATATACGCCTATAGTTACGTTCGTCCATAAACCTAATAGGGTCGCCAGTTACACTTTTAGCTATTCGGTTCGTTTTTAACAAAGTCGGCTTACCCAGTTTTTTTCCATATTTGATAATTAATAATGGATAAGTCTGAACCCGAATCAAGCTCTAGCCTTATATTTTTGTTAAATATTTGAACTTCAATATATTTCCTGATGTCAGAATTTTCTAGTCCATCAGACTTGGTAATTTAAAAAAAAAAGAAAATTTTGTCTTGCCCTTAATCCTGCAGTGGGAACTTTTATGTCCCAATTTATCGCAATTAAAACGTTTTTATCTTTAAAAGAACAATCTCTATACCAATGTAATTGACCACACCCAAAACATGGGCAAAGTAAATGTATTAGTTTTTGGTTGACCCTTTTTTATTTTTTCTTTGGCGTATTTTTTTTTTTTTTAATGTGAGCCTCGCCACTCTGTTCGATACTTTCGAACCCTCTCTGACCCTCACGAAACGTTGGCAATCTTCGGCCACTTGCTGTAAAGTAAGGTCGGGCTCGTTTTCAAGCTTGTTGAGTACCCTACGACATATTTCGGCGTCTTTCGCGGAAATCCGACCCTGGACGAAAATCAGACTTTTAAACTTATTGGCGCTTACCTCTGCCAATACGAAGTTATCGCAGTGCTTATTGACTACACTCGCGAAAGTAATATAATCTTCGCCTTCTTTGCAGTTGAGATTCATGCATTTCCAACGTTTTCAAGCTGCTGGTTTTCTTAGGCAAAATATAGTTAACAAACTTAGTATATTCTGATGTGCCTGATTTCCTGAGGAGTAGGCGAACCTTTTTATGGTCAGCCCAACTTGTACAATCCGTATTGTATAAGTCCTCGAAACGTTTAAAGTACGAAGCGAATATAATTTTTTCTTCAGGTTCAAACGTGAAGTTTTCAATAGCACTCCATATAGCATTTTGAGAGAGTGCGTTTTCGCTGTCTTCATTTTGGCTTTTGATGGATATATTATACAAGTGCCTTTGTTCATTCTGTGTTTGAAGGAGTATTTCTTCCAGTTTCTGTTGTCTAACCTGAATTTCTAGATGCAATTCCTCAGATTTCTTCTGGTATTCTGCTTGTTCTCGTTGGAATTTCTCTTGTCTTTCTTGATATTTCTGTTCCAACAGTAGTTGTTGATCCTGTTGGTGTTTCATCACCTCTAGCATTGCAATTTTAAATTCGTAAAATTATGAAATGAGAGCGGGGGGGATTTTTTTTCTCTTTATCCTCTTCACCAACAATAAGTCTGTTTGACTTGTACGGTTCTTTTACTGAAAAATTTAACAGCGGGAGAGGGGTTGGGTAAATTTTTACTTTATTCTATTAGCGAAAACTATAAGTCTGTTTGACTTGTACAGTTCTTTTACTAACTTGTTGGAATGGAAAAAATAACAAGGTTCGCCAAACTTCTTTCCAATCACTGAATTGAACTTGTAAAAATCCTATTGTTTTGAAGAGTTTCTTTTGTCGCTGTCAGTGTTGTAATTAACACTGGATACCCTTTTGTCGTAGAGTTTGATTAGAATTGCTTTGTTCACCACTGTTCACTAGCAAAAATTTTTTATGACTTAACGTGAAGTTCGTTTCTTTGAATCCTTCGTCGCCAAGGTGTTGTGACCAAATAAATGATTAAAGAAATAACAAAACAAGTGTTACAGATATATCATATATATTAAACAGTAAATACAACAGAAGAGCATTAAACGACTAGTGTGTGTGTCGGTTGACTCACCGTTCAATCTATTCGACTCTTAATATTTAACAGCACCCCCCATGTATGTATGTGGCACAAGGCCAAGTTTAACGTGCGTTTATCCGAGCCCGTAGGCTCGGCCAAAAATATTCCCTTAGAACCCGCATAAACGGGTTCAGGGCCTGTCTACTTCCCCGGGCGAAACTTTACCCTTCGGCAAAGCCTCGTCCGGGTTCCTCTCCGCCTTGGCGGAGAGTTTGACAGCAATGAACACTTTGACACTGTTATATTTAAGTCCCCCCACAAGGAATGTCCCCACAAGGCCGAGTTTTAACGTGGGTTTCTCCGAATGTAGGCTCAAAAAAATATTCCCTTTAGAAGGCATAAACGGAGTTCCCCCGGGCGAAACTTTACCTTCGGCAAAGCCTCGTGGGTTTCTCCGCCTTGGCGGAGAGTTTGACAGCAATGAACACTTTGACACTGTTATATTTAACAGTCCCCCCACAAGGAATGTATGTGGCACAAGGCCGAGTTTAACGTGGGTTTCTCCGAGCCCGTAGGCTCGGCCAAAAATATTCCCTTTGAACCCGCCTAGACGGGTTCAGGGCCTGTCTACCTCCCCGGACGAAACTTTGCCCTTCGGCAAAGCTTCGTCCGAGTTCCTCTCTGCCGAGGCAGAGTTGGACAGCTGAACAATCTGTACGATTGTTCCCCCAAGGCCTTCTCTCCTACTAATCTTATAGTAGGCGGAAGAGTCCAACATAGACTCTTTAGATGGCGGACAACACAACAATTATTATTATTATTATTTATTTTTTTTTTTTTTTTGATTTATGTTGTATACACATTTCTTTCTGGAGCTCAACTACATTTTTGTAAAAAAAATTTTTTTAAATCACACACATTTTAAATGGATAAAGCTCTTTGTAATGTGTGTGTTGTACTTGTGAGCATAATTCTTTAAGGCAAGGCCATCAGGAATCTCTTCAGTGAGTCTATAGGAACCTTTTCCAATCAATCCAACTACAACTTGAATTATTGATGTCCTCATGTGACACATTTTGGGGATTTTCTGTATTTTGATAGTTTTTTTTTTTTTGTTTTTTGACTATCTTCAAAGATACATTACAATCTACAGGAAGTGCCATGTCAATAAGAAAGGACATTTTGCTTTTGTGATTTTTTCATCATGATGTTTGGGAGATTAGTTTTGATTATTCTGTTTGGGTGGATTGTAAAATCCCATAGAATTGTTACAGCTCCTATCTCTGTAACCGGGTCTGGGTGGTGTTCATACCAGTTTCTTTCAGTTTCCCTCCCGTAAAAGATACATACTTTCCAGTGCAGATATTGGCCCACTCTATCATGTCCAATTTTATATTCTTAGGGTGTGTATTATCATTATTATTATTATTATTATTATTATTATTATTAGCTCCTTTTTCTCAAGCAGATCTTATGCCGTAATTTAACTCTCAGAAGTGAATCATGACAAATGACTATATGTCATGCCATTTCTTCACCTCTCGTCATCAATATGACCTTTCTCAGAACTTTGGCTGTCTCAAGCAGTTCTATTTTCCGAGGAATCTCTGTTCGAATTAGCCAGCCAAATGTTTGGATTGTTTATGCTACAGTTACAAGGGCGCCCATAACAAGAATAATGTCTACCTTCTTAAGCCCCGAAAAGCGTGACATCTCAAGTTTCAAATCTTGATACGTTTCCTCTCTCTCTCTCTCTTTCTTTTTCTTTCTCGGCTACCCTTAACGTCCCCTGGTACCGCTGTAGCGATGACGCAACACCAATGTATCATCCTTTTGGACAGTAACGATGTCCATGACTATCTTCCTTCGTAATGTTTCCATTTTCAACCGGAGAGCTTGTAATATAACAGCTCTTCATCAGGTCGTACGGCCTCGGACAGAGAGCGCCTTTCGCAGAATATTTGCACTGCCAAGCAACGCAGACTACTTCTTTTTTTTTTTTTTTTTTTTTAATCATTTCACCCCAAGAAAGGAAATAAAGCCACAAAGATGTTACTGGGTTTGAAAGAATATGAGAAAAAGAAAAACATTATTAAGGAGCGAGGACAATAAAAGAACAGGAATTAAGAAAACAGAAGATAAGAATTGGCATCAGGAATTTTTGAAGATCAAAAGTTCACTAAAAGTGAGTTTATTATTAATTATTATTATTATTATTATTTATTATTATTTTTTGATTTCTGTTATATACACAAAGCCGGGTCCAAACCAGAGACCCAAGGTCACAAATGGCTTCATGACATTTTCCATTGTTCATTTTGTAAAAAATATTATTATTATTATTATTATTATTATTATTATTATTATTATTATTATTATTTCCTTTGATTTCTGTTATATACACATTTCCTGCCGGGTCCAAACCAGAGACCCAAGGTCACAAATGGCTTCATGACATTTTCCATTGTTCATTTTTGTAAAAAATATTATTATTATTATTATTATTATTATTATTATTATTATTTCCTTTGATTTCTGTTATATACATTTCTCCGGGTCCAAACTAGAGACCTCAAGGTCACAAATGGCTTCATGACATTTTCCATTGTTCATTTTTTGTAAAAATATTATTATTATTATTATTATTATTATTATTATTATTTCCTTTGATTTCTGTTATATACACATTTCCTGCCGGGTCCAAACCAGAGACCCAAGGTCACAAATGGCTTCATGACATTTTCCATTGTTCATTTTTGTAAAAAATATTATTATTATTATTATTATTATTATTATTATTATTTCGATTTCTGTTATCATACATTTCCTGCCGGGTCCAAACCAGAGACCCAAGGTCACAAATGGCTTCATGACATTTTCCATTGTTCATTTTTGTAAAAAAATTATTATTATTATTTTATTATTATTATTATTATTTCCTTTGATTTCTGTTATATTTTTCCTGCCGGGTCCAAACCAAGTTAGGGTCAAAATAGATGACATTTTCCATTGTTCATTTTGTAAAAAATATTATTATTATTATTATTATTATTATTATTTAAAAAATATTATACATTTTGCCGGGTCCAAACTAGAGACCCAAGGTCACAAATTATTCATGACATTTTCCATTTTATTTTTTTTTTTATTTTTTTTTCCTGCCGGGTCCAAAAATTGTTCATTTTGTAAAAATATTATTATTATTATTATTATTATTATTATTATTATTATTATTTATTTCTGTTATATACACATTTTCCGGGTCCAAACCAGAGACCCAAGGTCACAAAAATGACATTTTCCATTGTTCATTTTTTAAAAAAATATTATTATTATTATTATTATTATTATTATTTTGATTTCAACACATTTCCTGCCAGGGTCCCAAACTAGAGACCCAAGGTCACAAATGGCTTCAATGACATTTTCCATTGTTCATTTTTAAAAATATTATTATTATTATTATTATTATTATTATTATTATTATTTCCTTTGATTTCTGTTATATACACATTTCCTGCCGGGTCCAAACCAGAGACCCAGGTCACAAATTTGACATTTTCCATTGTTCATTTTTATTATTATTATTATTATTATTATTATTATTATTATTTTACACATTTCCTGCCGGGTCCAAATAGAGACCCAAGGTCACAAATGGCTTCATGACATTTTCCATTGTTCATTTTGTAAAAATATTATTATTATTATTATTATTATTATTATTATTATTATTATTATTATTTCCTTTGATTTCTGTTATATACATTTCCTGGGGTCCAAACCAGAGACCCAAGGTCACAAATGGCTTCATGACATTTTTCCATTGTTCATTTTTGTAAAAAATTATTATTATTATTATTATTATTATTATTATTATTTCCTTTGATTTCTGTTATATACATTTCCTGCCGGGTCCAAACCAGAGACCCAAGGTCAAATGGCTTCATGACATTTTCCATTGTTCATTTTGTAAAAATATTATTATTATTATTATTATTATTATTATTATTTCCTTTGATTTCTGTTTATACACATTTCCTGCCGGGTCCAAACCAGAGACCCAAGGTCACAAAATGGCTTATGACATTTTCCATTGTTCATTTTTTTATTATTATTATTATTATTATTATTATTATTATTATTATAGCTTCATGACATTTCCATTGTTCATTTTTTTGTAAAAAATATTATTATTATTATTATTATTATTATTTCCTTTGATTTCTGTTATATACACATTTCCTGCCGGGTCCAAACCAGAGACCCAAGGTCACAAATGGCTTCATGACATTTTCCATTGTTCATTTTTGTAAAAAATATTATTATTATTATTATTATTATTATTATTATTATTATTTCCTTTGATTTCTGTTATATACACATTTCCTGCCGGGTCCAAACCCAGAGACCCAAGGGTCCAAATGGCTTCATGACATTTTCCATTGTTCATTTTTGTAAAAAATATTATTATTATTATTATTATTATTATTATTATTTCCTTTGATTTCTGTTATATACACATTTCCTGCCGGGTCCAAACTAGAGACCCAAGGTCACAAATGGCTTCATGACATTTTCCATTGTTCATTTTGTAAAAAATATTATTATTATTATTATTATTATTATTATTATTATTATTATTTCCTTTGATATACATTTTTCGGGTCCAAAACAGGACCCCAAATGGCTTCATGACATTTTTCCATTGTTCAATTAATTGACCTGATAAGGTCACAAATGGCTTCATGACATTTTCCATTGTTCAGGGTATTATTATTATTTCCTTGCCGGGTTGTCCATTGTTCATTTTTGTAAAAATATTATTATTATTATTATTATTATCATTATTATTATTATTATTAGATTATTTATGATTTCGTTATATATACATTTCCTGCCGGGTCCAAACCAGAGACCCAAGGTCACAAATGGCTTCATGACATTTTCCATTGTTCATTTTTAAAAAATATTATATATTATTATTATTATTATTATTATTATTATTTCCTTTGATTTCTGTTATATACATTTTGCCGGGTCCAAAAAAGAGACCCAAGGTCACAAATGGCTTTATGACATTTTCCATTGTTCATTTTAAAAAAAAATTATTATTATTATTATTATTATTATTATTATTATTATTATTTCCTTTGATTTCTGTTATATACACATTTCCTGCCGGGTCCAAACCAGAGACCCAAGGTCACAAAATGGCTTCATGACATTTTCCATTGTTCATTTTTGTAAAAAAATATTATTATTATTATTATTATTATTATTATTATTTTTTGATTTCTGTTATATACACATTTCCTGCCGGGTCCAAACCAGAGACCCAAGGTCACAAAATGGCTTCATGACATTTTCCATTGTTCATTTTTTTGTAAAAATATTATTATTATTATTATTATATTATTATTATTTCCTTTGATTTCTGTTATATACACATTTCCTGCCGGGTCCAAACCAGAGACCCAAGGTCACAAAATAGCTTCATGACATTTTCCATTGTTCATTTTTGTAAAAATATTATTATTATTATTATTATTATTATTATTATTATTATTTATTTTGATTTCCTTTGATTTCTGTTATATACACATTTCCTGCCGGGTCCAAACCAGAGACCCAAGGTCAAATTTCATGACATTTTCCATTGTTCATTTTTGTAAAAAATATTATTATTATTATTATTATTATTATTATTATTATTATTTCCTTTGATTTCTGTTATATACACATTTCCTGCCGGGTCCAAACCAGAGACCCAAGGTCACAAATGGCTTCATGACATTTTCCATTGTTCATTTTTGTAAAAAATATTATTATTATTATTATTATTATTATTATTATTATTATTATTTCCTTTGATTTCTGTTATATACACATTTCCTGCCGGGTCCAAACCAGAGACCCAAGGTCACAAATGGCTTCATGACATTTTCCATTGTTCATTTTGTAAAAATATTATTATTATTATTATTATTATTATTATTATTATTATTTCCTTTGATTTCTGTTATATACACATTTCCTGCCGGGTCCAAACCAGAGACCCAAGGTCACAAAATGGCTTCATGACATTTTCCATTGTTCATTTTGTAAAAAATTATTATTATTATTATTATTATTATTATTATTTCCTTTGATTTCTGTTATATACACATTTCCTGCCGGGTCCAAACCAGAGACCCAAGGTCAAATGGCTTCCATTTTCCATTGTTCATTTTGTAAAAATATTATTATTATTATTATTATTATTATTATTATTATTATTTCCTTTGATTTCTGTTATATATTTCCTGCCGGGTCCAAACCAGAGACCCAAGGTCACAAATGCTTCATGACATTTTCCATTGTTCAAAAAAAAAATATTATTATTATTATTATTATTATTTTGATTTCTGTTATATACACATTTCCTGCCGGGTCCTTTTTTGTTTATACAAATTTTCATTGCCATTTTCCAAACAGATTTTTTATTATTATTATTAAATATATATTTGACATTTCCATTCTTCATTTTTGTCCAAAAAAATCATGGATTTTTCCATTGTTCATTTTTGTAAAAAATATTATTATTATTATTATTATTATTATTATTATTTCCTTTGATTTCTGTTATATACACATTTCCTGCCGGGTCCAAACCAGAGACCCAAGGTCACAAATGGCTTCATGACATTTTCCATTGTTCATTTTTGTAAAAAATATTATTATTATTATTATTATTATTATTTCCTTTGATTTCTGTTATATACATTTCCTGCCGGGTCCAAACCTAGAGACCCAAGGTCCAAATGGCTTCATGACATTTTC